GTCACCGACCATGGCTGGAGGCTTGTTTGCCATGAATAGACAGTACTTCAATGAGCTGGGGCAGTACGACAGTGGCATGGACATCTGGGGAGGAGAAAATTTGGAAATATCATTTAGGGTAATTTTATCTTTTTATATACTTAACTCTTACTATAGCCAACCATGGACTACACCACGAGAGCTCTCATACTTACTCTTTTTTAGTATCCATTCAAAATAGCAAAAGCTTATAAAAAGCTATTTCTTTTCCTTATAAAGTTATTTACAAGGTATAATTACAGTAAACATTTAAGTGTAATTTAGGAAATCTTAATGTGAGTTTAAGCTAACGTTTCTTTCTTTGCTTATAAGTTTGTGTATTTAATTGGTATCACTGAATCCCTAGGGTGAGCAGAGATTTGCCCCAGACAATCTTGATTCACAGTTATTCTGGAAAAAATTATTATTTGCTCCCATTTCACTCCCAGAAGTATCCCAGTTTAGATGATAAATTGTCACTGTGTAGATAGCTTACTGAATCCTCTGCCTCTCTATATACCTTGAACTGTGAGTGAAATTCGGCTTTCATCGTCTCTCCTCTTCTCAGTTACTGGAAGTGGAAAAGATGAGAGTATAAGTGGGATCCAGAAAAGGCTGAAAGAAGGCTAGAGAAACAACTCAAACCTTTCATTCCTAGCAGATGCCCAGGTTGAGACAGCAGAACTCTCATTCATACGCTGTATGGAACCTTGTGTGCATATGGTGTATTGTATTTTGAAAATTATTTGACTTTTGTTCATAAGGTCACTATGAGTTGTACTCAACTTGATGGCACCTAGTAACAACAACAGCAGCCTTGTTCTTGGAAGGTAATTTTCCCCCACACAATCTTTCTGATTTTAAAATTGAAATGTAGTTTTCTTCTTTTCTAGAAAACTTACCTGCGTCCCATAAAAATGAAAACAACTCTGAAAAGTAACCCAATTGACAGTTAAGGATAAAAGTTAGATGAGAATGAAGATCTTCTAAATCATAATTATAAAAACAGTGCTGTGGCCGGGTGGAGGGCGGCGAAGTCTGACCTCTGCTAACTTCACAAAGAAGTAGGCTCCCATCAGACACACCTCCGTGCTCCCGCCCCCTCTCCCAGTTCTCACGTAATCATCCCTCACAGAGCTCTCACTACTTTGCCACTAGCTACGATCATTTGTTGCATTGGCCACACAGAGCTCACAGGCATACTCACAGTTAGGGCCTTATTTAGGGAAGTTATGGGTTACAATTCGGGTTGGACACACTCAGGATACAGGTCTTCAATCAGGACAGTGTCTGCTCAGCTCTGCTCAACAGCAGGCTGGCTCTGACTCTTGGTCTCAGCCTCAGACTTTGGGCTTTCCTCTGTGCTCTAGCAAGTTCTTTCATTGTGTCCCATCCCATAGGAACCTACTCAGAATCCTCCAGCAGATTTTCAGAGGCTGTAAAACCCACAGGAAGAGAATGCCTGTCTTTCTCCCACAGAAGAGCTGGTGGGCGGTACTAAATGAGTATCACCGTATTTTAGAGTCTAGTTAATTTTTATTCACAAAGACAGGTTTGGGGTTTTTTTTCATTACTTCTTTCTTTTTATGGGTAGTAGTTTCATAAATGCCTGTATGATGAATATTGATTTCTTTATGTTGATATCACAGTAACTGAAGCAACTAGATATTCACGTTTTGCCTCTGGACAGATCTGGATGTGTGGAGGTAAACTCTTCATCATCCCTTGCTCTCGAGTAGGACATATTTTCCGGAAAAGGCGGCCTTATGGGTCTCCTGAAGGACAGGACACGATGACCCACAACTCCTTGCGGCTGGCCCACGTCTGGCTTGATGAATACAAGGTGAGGTGGAATTTCTGGTCAGGAGGGTGGCGGGTGCCAGTCAGTGCAGGGCTCATGGCTTTTCCTTTATGTATTTCTGTTGGGCTCACCTGCTCTTTTGGTCCGTCGAGACAGTGATGCATTCTGTGCTAGTAGTCTTTGTAGTCTTCATTGCCATGTGCTTAGAAGTTAAGGGCACGAGAGCCAATCATGTTCAAAGACAATATAAATGAAATAGAAATGAAGTAGAAAATCAGTAAATATGGATTATATTCTTTAATTGTGCATCCATTCTCGCCCTCCTCTTCCAAATTGTTCCTCTCCCTTTAGCATAAACTCACCACTGTCTGTGCTTCCTGTCTGCTACCAGCTGCTGTTTGTCAGTTTGATACCCTCTTGTTGTTAGGTGGCAGCAGGGAACCTCTGATTCATAGAACTCACAGTCGCTGTCATCCTGAGTCCATTGTTGAGGCCACTGTGTCAGTTTCTGTGGTTGGAAGTCTTTTGGTTAACCCTTGATCTCCTGCAGATAGTTCTTTAAAAGAGCATGGAGCTCAAGGCTTGCATTCTTTACCAATTAAGTTAAACTGTTCTTTAGCTTAGAGGAGATAACGGGAATTTTCTATCTTACCATTTAAAGAATATCACAAGAAAAGAGTTTTGGGAGTTCACCTTCAAGGAACACTCTGGATATGAAAGAATGAATGAGTAAAACCAGAGTTAATCATATTTGAATATTTGGCAATGTTTTCTCAAAATCAGTCAAGTGACCCGTCTACTTCAAAGAGAAGAACTATTAGAGTTTGTGACAAATGACAAAATACACACACTTTCACGAGAAAAATAGAATTTTGGAGACTCTCCACCACCCTGAGCTTGGAAGTTTCTTGTTGTTCGGTTCCATCAAATTGGTTCCAACTCATAGTGACCCCAAGAACAGCAGCACAGACAGTGCCCAGTCCTGGACTGCCCTCCCCAGCTGCTGTGTCCCTCCATCCCATTCAAGGTCTTCCCTGTTTTCACGGGCCCTCTACCTTACCAAGTATGCTGTCTTTGTTGAGGGACGGGTCTCTTTCTAATAACATATCCAAATAAGATAAAGTCTGGCCATTCTGTCTTTAAAGGAACATTCCAGTCATAACTTCCAAGACCTCTTTGTTGTCTGGCAGTATGTGTAACAGTCAATGATCTTCAAGTTCAAGGTTGTCAGTTCTTTTCTAGTCTTCCTTATATTGTTCATCAATACATTGTCTAGGTTTTTGACTGCTGCTTCCATGGTTGTTGGTGGAAACTTTCTAATATGAATAAATATTTCTGATGAGATCATTTATATTATTTGGGAATATAATAATTTTATAAATATAAAGAAACTTTTCAGCCTTTGTAAGCATAACTCGGTGAACCTAATGATTAGTGCACAAATCTCGTAAAATCTCAGACAAAACGCCATTTAAGGAACAAGAGAAACCTTTTTATTTTATTATAACACATTAAGTTCAATGGTAGGCATTTATATTCTCCTTTTAGCCAAACTTTACCCAGTTTTGATAGAGTATAAAAGAAGAATAACTGTAATCAGGTGAAATAGCTATTAAAATATTCCTTCCCTTTCAAATACATACTTGCATGAATTCATATTTTTAAAAATATACTTTAGCCAAAGCAATATATAGCAACAGTTGAATGCAGATCGAGAATTCATATTTACATTAAAAATGTAGCACAGTGCCACTGTTCTGATTTTTTATTCTTGCTTTGGAAAATGTACATGTGTAATAAGCACAAGGTTCAAATTCACCAGCTGCCCCAAGGAAGACAGATGGGCAGTCTCCTCCCATGCGATTTACAGCCTGTGAAAACCCACTTAAGGCTCAGGTTTGAGTTGATTCCAACTCAGCAGTACATAACAACAATTTTTAACTGATTGAAACATTTTAAATCACTCAGTTTTAAATCTAGTATTGTCTAATTGACAAACAAAACCTTTTTGGAATCTTCAGTAATTTTTTAAGAATATAGAATTCTGAGAACAAAATGTTTGAGACTGTGGTTTCCATTATGGTCTGTCATTGAGTCTGAGGTGCACATTTTTACTTCAGAAACAGGATATATTTTTACAAATTAAAATATCTTTTCATTGGTATTTGAAAATTATGGGAAAATTTTTTCATTGACATTTTCTGGTAACATTAAGAAGACACTAGCAAAAAACTTCTTTTTCATGATCCGTTCTTTTTAATTGTTCTTTAAATATACATCTAATTGCTTAATATTAATTTTTAACGAAACATCATTCTCTTTCCTTTTTGTTTTGTTTTGAATTCAGGAGCAGTATTTTTCCTTAAGACCTGACTTGAAAACCAGAAGCTATGGAAATATCAGTGAACGTGTTGAGTTAAGAAAGAAGTTGGGTTGCAAATCCTTTAAATGGTATTTGGATACTATTTACCCAGAGATGCAGATATCAGGGCCCAATGCTAAACCACAGCAGCCCATCTTTATCAATAATGGACCCAAACGCCCTAAAGTTCTTCAACGAGGGAGGGTAAGATCACATAATCCTGTCAAAATGTCTCCTAAATGTCGTAGGATATGAAATGCTTTTGTGATTTTAGACTTGTTTTTTAATGACAGACGACGAGAGCTCAGGGGGCATGGTCTATGGAGAGCTGTGCTGCTGACCCAAAGGCAGTTTGAGCCATGAGAGCCCAAGGAGGGTGAGAAATGAGTCAGTTGTTAGGTGCCATCGAGGCAACTGTGACTCATAGCAGCCGTGTGAAGGGCAGATCGGACAGCCCTGTCCTGCACCGTCTTACACAGCTCCGCTCAAGCCCCCGGCTGTCGTCACCATGTCAGCCCATCTCATTGAGGATCTTCCTCTTCTCCACTGACCCCTCCTTTCTCCCCACAAAGTGTGTTTTTGCTTGGACTGGTGCCTCCTGACAACATACCCAAATTATGTGAGAGGAAGGAAGTTTCCACCATCGTTGACTGTGACGTGCACTCTGGTTACACATCCTCCAGGACATATTTGTTGTTTCTTTTGGCCAGTGTTGGTATACTTCTCTTCACCAACACCACATTCAAAGGCATCAGTTTTTCTTTGGTCATCTTTTTCACTATCCAACTTCAAAATGAATAGAAAGCAATAGAAAACACTATGACTTGAGTCAAGCACACCTTATTCTTTGAACTAACATCCTTCCTCTTTAGCATAAAGAAATCCATGACAGCACATTTGTTCCATATAACCCATCTTTTGGTTTCCTGACTGCTGCAACATACGTGCTGATTTTGGATCCACATAAAGTGAAATCACTGACAATTACAGGCTTTGCTTCATCTCTCATAAGGATGCCTCTTGTTCTAGTCATGAGAATATTTGTTTTTTGAAGACCTTTGAAGTTTTAATCTTTACTGTAAATATTAAGACCCTTATCCTTTAAAGGAAGCATAACTTCTATAAAAGGAAGTTCTACAGCAGGTTCTAAGAGACTTAATTATACATCTTAATATATACATAAAAAAGTTTCCCTGCAGTCAGAAAGTTGAGTGTCCCTATAAAACCTTTCAAAGCTAAAGTAGTGTAAAGTGAAGAAGCAATTACCATTAATTTATTCAGAAAAGTTTTTGCATATTCCCAGACCTAAAAATAACATCACATCATGCCAAGTAACCCATAAAACCTGAAATAACTCCAGAATCACTCTGACAGACAAAGCTCAAAGCTGTGGTGTCTGGGGGCTGTGCTGCTGAGTGTGTTTCTTGGAGAAGGGTCCATGGGATCACTTTCCCTGTGGGGTGTGTGCTGCCTTTACGGGCTCACTGCAAAACAAATCCTCAGCCACAGTCTTCTAAACACATTTTGTTCACTTGTTCCTGTCGAGTTGGGACCAACTCATAGCTGACCCTCATCAGATTTTTGGATGCTAATGCATCGCAGAGAAAATAAATGCCCATGTTTCTGCCTTTGAACTGCTGGTGGATTTGAACCAGCTGCCTTTATATTAACAGCACAACACTATAGACTGTGCCACCAGAACTCCTTTTGAAAAAGAGCATGATGATTTCTAATTTGTGTTTCACAATGTAAAAACCCACTGCCATCAAGTCAGTTCTGATTTATGTGATCCTCCGTCGGGTTTCCAAGCCCTGTTAAACGTCCTGGGAGGAGACTGCTCAGCATTCTACCATGAGGCAGCTAGGGGATTTGAACCACTGACTTTCATGGTTGGCATTATGCACTACGCCACGAGGATTCTTTTCATAATATATATATACTAACACATGCTTTTATAATAAACTTTTTATATGTGCTTTAAAAAATTCCCATGACATTTATATGCACATATCCCTGGTGAAAGCTCTGGTGGCCTAGTGGCAGGAAGCTGTGCTGCAATCCTGAAGGCACGGAGTTCGAGCCCACCAGCTGCTCTACAGGACAAGGATCAACAGTCTCCTCTTGTGTGATTTTACTGCCGTGGAAACCCACTGGAGGATCAGCTATGGGTCAGTTCCGACTCAGTGGTACAGAACAACAACCACTAGTGTAATGTGTATATTAAATTTAATTTTGTACTGTCTTACTTGTTTACCCTTGTTTATACCTTCTGTTCTTGCTCTGTTTCACTGTAAGGATCTTTAGGGCAAGCATGAGGTTTCATTTCCTTCACTCCCACAGTCAGTTGGGAAACGTGAGGTTTAGGTTGAGTTTCTATTTGACTTATTCCCTGCAAACATACTGCACACAACTGTCTACATGCCTCCCTTGCTGGTGGTTGTGTTCCATCGAGTCAGAATCAACTTGTAGCTGACCCTCCAATGGGTTTTCAGAGGCAGTAATCACACAGGAAGAGATTGCCCATCCTTTTCCTGAGGGGCAGCTGATGGCCTTGAACTGTGTGCCTTCAGAGTTGCAGCACAGATTCTGACCTCTAGGCTCAAACTGAGAAGTTAAAATATTTCTCCTCCCCTGACCCTCGGTATTCATAGCCACGGAAGAGTCATTTTCACATTTTCCCCATCCTGCCTCCTTGAAGCATTCTAAAGCTGCTTCTGGCATCAGTATTTGCATTCCAAGTTGCTTTGACCAAGGTCTCCTCTGCTTTTGCAGCTCTATCACCTCCAGACCAACAAGTGTCTGGTGGCCCAGGGCCGCCCGAGCCAGAAAGGAGGCCTGGTGGTGCTGAAGGTGTGTGACTACGGGGACCCGAACCAGGTGCGTGCCGGCGCGGGCCCAGGGAGATGTAATTGAGGTGTTTCATAAGCTGACTTCTCTAAAATGATAAATCCTTGGTAAGAATGGCTCTAGAGAGCGACTAGTACCGCCCTTGTCCTTGTGCAGAGATTTCCTCCCTCTGTGACGTCTGGCACGGGAGCATTTCTGTGCTCAGGAGCATTACTGTCCTTTCCTGTGTCATGAACTTGTGATTTAGAGGCTGTAAGTGTTAGAAACACAAAGGAATATTAAATCTACGTTACAAGAGTCAGAGTATCTTCTGTGGCAGTTTCTTTACTTTTTTAAAATTTTTATTGTATATTGGTTTGTTTACGAAGTTTCTATACATTATGTTTCTATCCTTTATTCACATGTGTTTTATACAGTCACTCCCATTCATTATGTTTGATAAAATTAATCACCACTGGCCTATGTTCACCATTATCCTGTCTTTCCAGATCCCCACCCGATCTTTCCCGTTTCTTTACACACACCCTCCACCAACTAGATTGTGCGATCTTTTTTTTTTCAGTTTTATTTTATGAATGTTAATGAACATTTACAGAGATTTTGGATTTCCATTCATTCATTGTTGCATTTTTCTCCCTGCCCACCCCTTCCCCCTAGTTTGCTCTTCTCTTTGAAAAGTAAAATTCCTTCATTGGTATACAGTCCCCACCCCCACCCACCACCTCACCCTCATGCCCCAAGTACTTTCCACTCTGCAACCTTCATTCTGGACTCTTGTGATAACCATAATAATCATATATCATTTTTAAACTGTTCTCTCCCTCATCTGTTTCAATGCAGTATACATGATTTATCCAGTTTTTCTCAGTCTCATCCCAACCCTTATGTCAGTCCTGTTCTGTAACAGTGGCACTATGCAGTATTTATCTTTTTGTGACTAAGGTATTTCACTCAGCATAATGTCCTCCAGGGTCACCCATTTTGAATAATATTGCATGAGTTCCTTGTTTTTCGATGCAGTGTAGTATTCCATTGTGTGAATATATCAGAGCTTTTCTATCCGTTCGTTTGTTGATGGGCAGTTAGGTTGTCTCCAGCTCCTTGCTATTGTGAACAAAACCGCGATAAACATGGGTGTGCATATATCTGCCTGGGTGGCAGTTATGGTTTCTTTAGGGTCAGATTGTGTGATCTTGTAATTACTCCTCCGTATATCGTTAACCCTCTGCTCCCACCCTACCACCCCCTTGGATCCTCATACATATTTTACTGTTTATCTATTTCTACAATAATGATCTTGTGCAGTATTTGTACTTATAAGACTGAATTAGTTAGGTCAGCATAATATTCTCCAGTTTTTCTCAAGTTATATAGTATTTTTCAAAATTATTTCTCCTGTGTCCTGCATAGTATTCCATCGTATGAGTGTACCATAATTTCTCAGTCCATTTGATTGTGCTTGGGCTGTTTCCATGTTCTTGCAATGGTGAATAATGCTGCTATGAACATTGGTGTACAAATCTCTCTGTCTCTGTTCTCATTTTCTCGGGGTATTTTCCAAAGAGTGGAATTGTTGGGTCATGAAATTTCTGTGTTCAGCTTTTTGAGGAAATGCCAAACTGGCTTCCAGAGTGGTTGTACCATTTTACAACCCCACCAACAGTGTATGAGAGTTCCTATCTCTTTTCATCCTCTCCAACATTTATTGCTTGCTGTACTTTTAAAACTTTGTGCAGCAGTTTCTTGAAATCAAACTTTCCTAAAGATTTTCAGTGTTGATCAAAGGAAACTGTAACAGAAATTTGATTCACATTATTCATATGATTTAATTTTTATGTATGTAATAGTGGGGGGTTGATGGCATTAATATTTGAAGTTAACTTAAAAATAAGCACCAGCTATAATCTCAACAATCTATTACAGATACTGTAAACAGAAGCAAATAAGGTTTGAAAAGTTGAAAAAAATAATAAGCATAAAAACTTACTAGAATTTTTAGGTTTCCAGAATTTTAATCTGGTTTTAGTTGGTAATAGAATCTAACAGTGACTGACTAATCTGTTGGTTGTAGTTCATCGCTACCACAGTGCTCAAAGCATGTCATTAGTAACTTTCATTTCCAGTTTTGTGATGCATTGATTTAACAAGAATGAAAAGAATATTTGGATTTTATAGGGGGAAAGTCTGTGCTTTGAAATTTTGTGAAACGTTTTCTTTTTTGAGAGTTCAAACATAGTAATAAATGCCTGTGTGCATGCACATATATGGCCAAGGTACTTTGTGTGTATATGTGTACTTATCACAAAGGCAGCAACAAAAACATGATTTTGAAAATGAATTTTTGGTTCATATCTGAGAATGAGAGATTGGGAGAGTTGTCAACATGATGGATGCTAAAATTTTGGTGGCATTTCAGTGGTATAGATCACAGTAGAATATGAGAGTGGAAATCTGAATTGTTTAGAAAATATCAGTTTAGATGATAGGATTGTACAGATTTATTTATAATTTTGTTACTGTATGGAGTAGCTTTAATTCCATAGCCACTAGTTACAAATTTACTTTCTCTGTCACAGGAGCCACATTTCAAATACTTTATAACTGTATATGGCTAATAAGTAATATATTGAAAAGTCCAGTCAGAATACTTCCCTTGTCACAGGATATGCTGTTCCATGGCACCGCAAAGCTTCTCTTTGTGTTCAGGGGAGCAAACACACCTATCTTAGGTCTCAGGTAGATGCTGCAGTGAGTGACATAATCACAGAATGTTGAAAATGTTCATTGCCGTTGTAGCACTTGAGTGAGTTCACTATTAAGTTGCACATCTCATTCCATAGGTTACTGTGGTTTATATTAAAGAGTATTGTTTTCTACAGAATAATGTGGTGCATACAGCTTAAATACACCATCACCTACACACAACCCTCTCCCAAAAAATGAGAGAAGTTGTGAAAAAATAATAGTCTTGCTTGGTTTTGGTCTAAATAAGATGAATCTGCATCCTCACTGGTCTCCTCTAGTTCTTACTCAGCATAAGAATAAAGAGAATTGTCTAATTCTCATAAGGCTTGATTGCAGAATTAGAAGAGATGCATAATTCAACTTAGATGATCTTTTAAATTCAGCGAGTAAGATTAAACTCTATTTACAAAATCTGACAACTGTAGAGGGTTTTCCCCCAGACTAGGATGCCACTTTCTCTTCTGTGTGTATTCACTGTAGTAAGTTGAAATTTGCCTACAGGTAGCATTTCTCCCTGATTTGTTTCTATTTTATGATGCAAAACAGAGGAACTTAATTTCCCTACATATATGTGACATCGTGTGCAGTCCCGACTTTCTGGATCTGAGGTGTAACCTGAGTTTGGGTCTCTCTCCCTAGGTTTGGGCTTATAATGAAGAGCACGAGTTGGTTCTGAATAATCTCCTCTGCCTGGATATGTCTGAAACTCGCTCCTCAGACCCCCCGCGGCTC